GGCTTTCTTTGGTGTTGAGGGAGAATACCGAAACAACAGGCAAGCTTAGAACACATTTCTGAACTGAAGGATATGGCTAAAGCTTTAGGATGAATGGCCTTCCACCCAAATACTACTCAAATGCCTCAGCGTAATGACCCAGAGTTCTTAAAACACAACAGTTCGACGCACAGAATTCTGGCAGGTTCTCCCCATCTATAAAGGCAGTCAATAATAGACAATATGTTTGCTGGCCAACAACTAGCCTAGCACATTCAGAGAGGTTCAAACAACATCAGAAAGTTCAACACCAGAAGTTTCTGTCTACAGAAACTCATGTTTGGCAATCTACTTAATTGTGGAAAGAGGTTGCAATCTGCAACAGTACTCCTCTTGTTTGTCCTGGAGTTACCCTTTTTCTGTTTTAAAACACGTCCTCTGTGGTTTTCATATTCTGAGATTTAATTGTTAAATTAAAACCAACAGCAAAATTAAATAAAATCAAAATAATATTATTTAAATGTTCAGTAAAATCAATATTCACAATAACATACTTTCATAATTTTAAAAACTTTGATCATAGTTCCGATCATATTACCTTAGCAACATTTCTTCAGAGTGGAATTTTCATCACGTCCTACAGAAGCTACTCCCAATGACCCAGAATCATTTTAGCTGCCTTTCTCTAAATATCAAAGAATGCTTTGACGTTGGAAGAAATTAAATGGAAACAATTTCACACATTCTGACTATACATAACCTTCACTAGGTCATAGAGTAGAAGCCACATTCCCACCCCTCTCCTCACCCTTCATCTCGAATCTTGCCTCATCTAAAACTCTTTTGTTAAGAGCTCTTCCGCAATTTTCTTGGACACTGAGAAAATCCCCTCTAAATGCCAAAAATCTAAGTCAGATTCTATTTCTACTTTTCCTTTCTCATACATAGCAGAAAAGAACAAAACTGATGTTCAAAACGGAACAAAAATTTTAAAACAAAACTAAAAACCCACAGGCACTTTAAAAACACCATTTATAAGAGGTATTCTACGTGGTAATTACAGCAGCCTTACCTATTAATAAATATACTTTAAAAATCCAACATGTAACTGCTATACTTACACAAAGAGCTTTCTCACATGTGCATTATTTTTTTTTTCAGGAACACAACCCAGTGAGGTAAATCAGGAACATTCCTCTGTGAGGAAACTGAGGCATAGAACAGTTCAGACTGGTCTGAGGCCACAAGCTAGTAAGGGGCAGAGTCAGAATTTACACACTGGCTTTCTGACTTCCAGTCCAATGTTCTTTCACCATGTCATTTTACATTTCTTAAAACTGATACCTTTCTCCTTTGTTTTCTATTTATTATACTGGCAGCCCTGTAGTAGCTCCCCTACTCTCCTCCCTAGGGCAGGAGTCTGAGGTACCTTGTACTGTTATCTAAGTAAAGAGCTTTCTTACATACCCCTTCCCCCCAAAAAACCTGGTACCTTTCTAAATGAAAACTGCAATAATAGGATTTTTAATATTTTTAGGTAAATGTTAAACTTATGGGCTATAATTAAAATGACATAATTTATGCTGTGTAATATTAGTGTATTTCAAAGCAAATTTCGAATGGAAAGTATACCATGCTGGGAAGAAAAAAATTCTCTCATCTCTTCTGTACTTTCTACTAAAACACAAAAACCAAGCGTTTAATAATTCCCTCATCTAACTTTTAAGACAACAATTGCCTGCCCAATATAAAGGACATTTTGAAAAAAAAAAAAAGAGAGAGAGAGAGTGTCTCATAAACAAGAACTGACAATCAAGATGAATGGTCCAAGTGAAAGTCTCTTAGAAATGTTAAAAATGTTTAAAATGCTCATTAAGAGAGTAATTAGAGCTTTAGGAAAATCTTTTCAGTACCCTCTCACAAAGTTAACAGATGAAACCCTGAGGCAATAAGATGTGTCTACCAACCAAGGATGGGGCACTGCATATGCTTCTACAAACTCTTTGATTTAAAAAAAACCTCATTAATCCAGCTTTCCAGATAGGAATTTATCATCATGACCAGCAAATAGTAACGTGGACCCAGAGTATTTGCTATTTTATTTCTTCCACAGAAGAAAAGACCAGAAAATATTTGGTCCTCATCTGCAAAACTGTTAATTTGCACAGTACAAATCACCACCAAATCACAGAAGTAAGTGGCTACTTAACCCCATATACCAATTTACCACACCAATACCAGGTGAAAATCAAAGTTCTCCTGGCTTCTCTGATAAAAGGTACTAATTACATATACTTTGATGGTCATAACTTTCTCCTTGGACAATCAGCATGTACTTATATTAGAAGTCCAAATAGATCACATTTACTCTAAGAAATCTCTACACACTTAGTAGCCACAGATAGGCGAGTTTAGAAGGAATTGTGAATAATGAACTAGTCTCCCTATAGGTAGGTAGTCAATTCCTGCTATGCCAGAAGATAGCATATGGGACTATTTTTCATGGTTCTGGGATTTGTTTAGTTTACTTATTTATTCTTTCACTCATTTATCCATCCATTCATTTACATTTGCTGGTTGGTTGGTGGAGATTGGAGGGAGGCAGTTTAGGAGAAAGTGAGGAAGAACACAAAAATGCTTTGCTGTTGCTTCCATACTCCCCCTTTCTGTCCACCATCATTAGGCTGATAATGTAGCATCATTACAGGCCAGATAGAGCAGGACCCTTAACAATGACAAGAAGAGTGGAACATGAAGACAGCTCAAGGGAATGATGAGTAACCATCATGGGAGCAGCCCTGGACTTTAAAGGAATTCTACCAATCTTTATTGGGCCTACTCATATTTTAAAGGAAAATAGATTCTGCTTCCCAAAGACTAGTGCACTTGAAAAAAGCCCCAGTCTCCCTATCTATCTTAGTATAAAATCTGCATATTGCCTAATTCCTTGGGATTATCCAGAAATTGGCTGTGGCAGGCCAGGATGGAGCCAATTTCCTGGGAGCAGTGATGGATGCAGCTTCATTTCCACTAACCAGACATGGAGGGGTCCGTGAACTTGTTCTTTTTAATATTTTGCTAACTATATTCCAATATGCTTGGTTTTGGCAAGGTACAATAGCACACACTTAGAATTCTTACTCTTATGAGAGGCTGAGGCTGGTGGATAGATTGAGTTTGAGATTTCTGAGCTATATCATAGGGCCAAAGCCGACTGAGTAACTACACTAAGTCCTAAAATAATATAGTGAGCCCTAGGGAGTGGGAAGCTACCAGACTGCCTAAGAAGGGATTAATTGGCCCAGACCAGAAACAGGCCAAAGTTTCTGTGCTAAATTACCAAAGCGATCCAGTCCATTGGTGGTTACTGCACTTTCAGCCTGGGAGAGACAGACAGACCTAGTCTATGATGAGACATGACATAATATAACCACAACTCAACCACGACAGAAAAACAAACACAACATATAACATACATGTTGTTTCCTTTGTAATCCTATACATTTTGTTTTATGTATTTTTAATTATTACTCTAACAAGGGGTGCAAAGGCTTTTCCAGACTGGCAAAAGGGTCACTGATATAAAAAAGTTTTAAAAAACCTGGCCTACTGGGCAGCAGTGAAACAGAGCATACACACCTTTTTGTGTTCTTCCTACAAAAGCACGTCTGCAAGGATTTGGATATGAATCAACAAATTCTACAGTTGGATGAACTGAAAGGCTTTGCCCTTGAAATCTCAAATTTGCCCTGTACAGTTTTTACAAAGTACCTGAATTTTTCTCCCATAGCCACAGGAGGCCACTAGCTGCCCTTTCCCAGGACATGGATTTTCCTGGCCTGTTTTAGCCAGCCATCGTCTATATATATTTAAACTGGGGGATGGAGAGGAAAAGGAGGGTCAACAAATATGGGAAACCAACTCCTCTAAGTCTACTCTGATGTTCCTCTCCCATGACCAGGCTGGGTCCTATGGAGACCAGAGAAGCCATGGTTCATCTCAATAGCAATTATACTACCTATCGCAGCAAGCCTCAGTCACTGTCACCAAGGAAGGTCTGGAGTAGCATTTTTTGTGTCATGGCCCCTTCCATTATTAGGTGAAACTGATGGAATCCTTTTCAAAATAATGTTTATAACAAAACATGGGATTGCAAAGGAAACAAGTCATAATTATTTGTTATTTTGTTTTATTACTAACTGGGTGTCCCTATCACACCTAGGCTACAATTATAGCGGCTACTCAGGGGCTTGATCACAATGGAAGCTTTGTCCTGCTCTGTTAACTTCTCAGTACATTTTTTTTTTTTGGTGAGGCAATTGGGGTTAAGTGACTTGCCCAGAGTCACATAGCTAGTGAGTGTTATGTGTCTGAGGCCAGATTCGAACTCAGATCCTCCTGACTTCAGGGTCAGCACTCTATCCATTGCGCCACCTAACTGCTCGGTACAATATTCTTAAATGTAGAAAATAAAATACATAGGATTTCAAAGGAAACCAAAGGTTAGTGAAAATAAAGATGCAATTTTTTTTTTCCCATCCAAGTTCATGGACTCCTCTAAAATCTATCCATGCACCCTGGAGGACCCTTGGTGTAGGAGTCTGAAGAGGACTTATCTCTTACTCAGCCTGTCCTGGGCAGACTATACAAATAAAAATGCCAGTTTACCTACCTCCAAGCTAGGCGAGAATGAGTAATATAATTCAGGGAGTAAAGTCACCAACCATGTCCCTCTCTGACCTTCCCAGAAGGGCAAAGAAATATGAAAACATTGCAATAATGCCTGATCTGGTTTATGTCTTACTTATGACCAAAGCTAAATTATCCCAGAGAGGTGAGATTATATTCTTCATGCAATATTTCTACAAGAGACAAGTTATAGCACCTTCAGAAACTTCCTCATGATCAACTCTGATGGATATCTGTAGATGGATTGGCACAATTTGAAAACTCTTCTCAGAGGCTCAAGTCACACACACACACACACACACACACACACACACACACACACACGAATTTACCTTTTGGCTTCCTCTAGATGGCACAGATACTCATACGCAATGTTCTGACGTCTCCTCTCATCCATTTCTTCTGCAGAAAGCCTTTCATCATCCACAATAGCTATAAGTAGAGGAAGACATCATATGAGATATAAATTAAATCACACTTTAAACCTAAATTCAAAGCACTACTGACACTTTGCTTTCAAAATCAGCTTTTGCTGTTATTATTGTTGTTCTGATCCTAAAACCTCAAAGACTGACTACTGATGCTCTAACTAACCTTCCATAAGATTTCCATTGAAATTTTGTAGCATCATTTTGTTTTCACACACAAAGCAGGACAAAAATCGAGTGTATCACTGTTGTCAGTCACGTCTAATTCTTCATGAGACCAGTTAGGGTTTTCTTGGCAGACATACTAGAGTGGTTTGCCATTTCCTTCTCCAGTTTATTTTACAGATGAGAAACTGAGGCAAACAGGGTGAAGTAACTCTCCCAAGGTCACAGAGCTAGTAAGTGTCTGAGGCCAGAGTTGAACTCAGAAGACGAGTCTTCCTAACTTCAGGCCCGGAACTCGACCCACTGCACCACGTATCTGCCTGATGTGCCTATCAGAGAAAGATGCAGCTTCACAGAAGCTTTTCCGCAGGAACTGAAGGAGGCTTCAATTAATGTATTTATGCTGCTATAATAGTGACTGGGACCTGTGATTTTGAAGGTATAAGGAACTCACAAGTGAGAAAATTCCTTCTACCAATCCAAGTCAGCCCTTTCTCTGTAATTTAGTCTCGCCTAAAACAACACTGAGAGGTAGGTGCTGTTATTATCTCCTTTTTACAGTTGAAGAAACTGAGATAGGCAGGTTGGGTGATTTGCCCAGGATCACATAAGGCACTATGGGACTGGACTTGGGACCAGGCCCTCCTGACTTACAGACCAATTCTCTATTTACTACACCCCACTTCCTCTTTATAAAATAATAGTTAATAAACACAGGGTTATAGATTTCGAGCTAAAAGGTTACTTGGAGGTCAGTCATTTTGTCTAAAGGAATGAAGGACCTAAGCCGAGTAGTTAAGCTTCAACAACAACACAGGGCTTTGAGTGGGCCCCATTTGGGTAATTTAAGGGTTAAGCTATTAGTTCATAAGCTGGAAGCAAGGACCTCATTTCAAGGACCTCATTTCACTGAGCCGAATAGTCTCCTCAGGAAACACTTAATAAATGCTGTGGAACATTAAGCAAAGATACTTTCAAATCTTTCTTTCCTTCAGTGTCTTGTTTTAATTCCTCTGGGGAGCGTCTTTTCCTCAGGAAGTCAGTAAAACTCACACTTTTAGGACCAGACCTGTGTTGTGATTTGATGCAGGGAATATCTGGTAAGAAACTTCCTCAACCGACAAAGTAGAATCTTAGAGGATTGTATGGGGCCAGTGAGAGGTGAAGGATTTGCCCAGGATCATAGACTCAGTAGCTGTCAAACTTGAACCCAGGTTCTTCTTGACTCCGAAGACCCAAGGCTAACTCTTAATTTCATATATGTGCTTCTCACTCTTAATCCCAAGAAATCTCTTACCCTTCTTGATCCCTTATTTGAAAAAAAAAAAAAAGTTAATTTTTTCCAGGCCTTGATATCTCTGCACGGAGCAAGAGTGTTCAGCAGACTAGCAGCTGAGATAGTGACCCAGCATTATTTTTACCTCACTCTTTTCAATTCAATATAAAACCTAATAATATGCCTTCTTATACTTGGGTCTTATTCAAATGTGCCTCAGACCTCACTTCTATAAAAAAGACAGCACCACATAATTTCTTCCTCATGCCTTCCCCCCTTGGGGGAGGGTGTCCAGATGAGCAACTCAATGTACACGTGCTAACGAATAAAAGACTACTTCCTCTAAAAAGTCCCTGCCTTCCTGACCTCATCAAGCCATTCTCCATTACAACTCTGATAGCCTTAAGACAGATTTTGGGATTCTGTGGTTAGTTGGGGTATTTTGCTAAAGAAGACAACAGCATTGTTCTTGGCAATTAACTTCCCTGTCTTATGCCCACTCACCTGAGCTGGTCAGCTCACAACTGTGATTATAAGGGAGGGGAGGTGCAGGGGGAAGAATATGGAGACAGATCAAGCTAAAATCATCACTTAGTAGCTAGATGGTGCACGGGATGGAGTACCAGCCCCGGAGACAGGAAGACCAGAGTTCAAATTGAACTTCAGAAATTTACTAGCTATGTGACCTTAGGCAAGTCACTTTATCTGTCTGCCTCAGTTTCTTCAACTGCAAAATGGGAATAATAATAATAGCAACTACCTCTCAGTGTTGTTGTGAGGAATAAATACAGTAATATTTGTAAATCACTTAATGCAGTACCTGGCACATAGTAGGCGCTTCATAAATGCTTGTTCTTTTCCCCCTCTACTTGGAAAAGAAACATGTTCCATTGTCCTCGTTTCATTGCTCAGCAGCATTATCTCTGTAAAATGATGGGTTGGACTAGTTCTCTCCAGTAAATACCAGCCCTAAGACGCCAACTTCAACTTCCAGAACAATGAATCATACAACCTAATTCTGCAGTCCTATAAATTTCAAAAGTCCTACAAACTATATCCAAGCTGTCAGGGAATTTCTGGAGGTTCCCTATGTTATTGTTATAATGCCTTCCTTTCCCCATACCTAACATACTACTGGTAATAATGGTGTAACTGTCTAACCACAACCATACCAACAATGAATTTATTATCTTTGTCATGTTGATGGGATATGGTGGGATTTTAGAGTTGTTTTCACTTTCATTTCTGATTCTTAGAGATTTTGAACATCATCTCATGAAACATCGGATTTTTCTTAAAACAGAGATTTAAAAGACTTCAAGTTAGAAATACCATCTAACTTTATACTGGTCATTGATGTTTGGAGAAATATTCAATATACCATCCATCTTTCAAGCCCCAATTTAAATGCCACTCTCTCCAGGAATCTTCCTCCAAAGGGAAAAGTGAGCTCAGTGTTCTTGATGCTTATAGCAATTTTTATCATTCAGAGGACATTAGTGTGTATCTCTCTAGAGATCACAGAATTTGACTTTTCTTTCACAATGAATGAAATGATAGATAAGACCACTGCTGCTTGCCAAGACAGGTATTTCTTTCCCTCTCCTCCATTTCCACCATTCAATCAGTGCAAATTCTAGTTTTGTAAAACCTATAATCTTTTGTTCACAACAAGAGAATTCTAGCTGTATAAGCAAACTACAAAGTAAGATTATATCTTTTTCTTCTGGAGGAGATTTTAACCTCAGTTTCAGCGACTCATTCACATGCAAAAATGCTGAAATATGCAAACATATTTCAATATTCCTAAATATTTATATAATAGAAATTGCCTTTTAGAAGATTCTGTATTATGCAAGACCCATTATATATCCTTCATTTGCTTGTCCAAATTTTTTAATGAAGTTGTCCTACATCCAAGCCCATGCTGAATAAGTTTTGAGTTAGCTAAGGCTTCCTTGAATGTGAAAGCCAAACAGGCAGATCACTTGGCTTATTATCAAGATCAGCATCCACTTTGGTGGCTCTTTATTGACTTTTTTTTTAAAGGGCTAATTGATTGTTTTCACCTCATGATGTTCATGAGTGTTTCTTTCTCCACTCTTGTACTTTTTTCTTCTTCCCCACCCAAAGACATAGTATTTAGAATTCCACATAAGTGACATAAGAAAACTATGTTCCCTATGAAATAAAACAAATCCTCATAGAATGTCATGTTAGTAGGGTAATCTGGAGTTGGGTAATAAAGATATTTTGAAATTAAACTCATTGTTCAAAGATCAAATTATCAAGCCTCTTTATAGTTTTACAGGCAGTGAGTGAACTAGTCTAGCTTTTGGTGAGGGTGAAATAGCAATGAAGTTTGAAGAACACAGAATTTTTAAGAATATATTTCCCCTCTCAACCAGTATTAAGAATATACCACCATGTACTATAATTGCAATGCTTAATTAATTTTGCCTACCACCTCACCCCTCAAAAAAAGAAAAGCTATGGTATGTTTCAAAAAATAAAGTTAAATTCTCAAAATTAACTTTATTTTCTAAAAATTGAGAATGTTCTAACTTGGGTTATTAGAAGTATACTCTAGCTATCTATCATAGAACCAAAGCTAAGAAAAATTTATTTGTAAGGAAGACAACCTGATTTAAGAATGACAGAGGGAAAGCGAAACTAATCATCGCATAATAACTCTTTCTTTGCTTCTTCTGTTTTCTCTCACAAAGAGAATTGGAATAGAAAGGAAAATATAGAAAACTTGGAGAATTTAGACCTGAAAGAGCAATGATACCTTCTGATTGGGAACATTAAAGAATATTCATATTATTCAGAACATGGTACCTTTTCAAAAATTGACCATGAGCTAGGACAAAGAAAATGCAAATAAATATATTTTAAAATATATAAAAAGAAAAATTAAGCATTTGCAGACTATGAGATATTGTAACTGACAAAGCAAAAGATAAAGACCTAAATGAAGACTTAATAATGATATCCTGAATACTGGGTGGCTCAAAAAATAAATAATAAAAAAGAATAACTATGAAAGAGCATGAAAATAATGAGACAATATACCCAAATTTCTGGGATCTAGCTAAAAATAATCATTAGAGAAAATTTCTCTTTGGAAATATAAATGAACAAAATAGAAAAAGAGAATTATCTTCATACCAGTAGCTATGGCTAAAGATATGCAAGGAAATAGAAAGAGAACATCTAGCTGCCCTTGGTAAGTTCAAGTAACTGGATGCAGGCAAACTACACCATGACACTGAAAGAACAAGGGGAAAGGAACAAGAAGGAGGGTATAGTGTTGTCACAGTGTGATGATGGCCAGGAAACAGCAGCATGTGTGTCTTGGTCAGCCTGGAAATGGTGACCAAGTACAGGGACTAGTTCAGGAGCTGGGGCACACGAATATAGGCAGGGCAAATGTGATCACCAAGCCAGTGATATTTGAAAAATAACAGAAAAGAAAAGGTGCCACAGGATCAAAGAAGGGCAGACACCCCAGTTTTCAAAGCAGTGAAGAGCATGGAGTTTACATCAAGGCCAGGGAATTT